GTGGTGGTGCTTGGAGCCGAAGTGGTAGTACTGGGTGCAGCCGTAGTAGTCCCAGGAGCAGTCGGGGTGGTAGCAGGCGTACTGGTGGTGGTACCGGGAGCCGCCGTCGAAGTAGCAGGCGCATTGGTGGTGGAGCTAGGTGCTTCTGTGGTAGTCCCTGGAGTGACCGTAATGGTAGAAGGCGGCTTGGTGGTGGTCCCAGGAGCCTTGGTGGTGCAAGGAGGCTTGGTGGTGGTAGCAGGAGCCTTTGTGGTCCCATGACCCTTGGTGGTGCTAGGAGACTTGGTGGTCCCATGACCCTTGGTGGTGCTAGGAGACTTGGTGGTCCCATGACCCTTGGTGGTGCTAGGAGACTTGGTGGTCCCATGACCCTTGGTGGTGCTAGGAGGCTTGGTGGTCCCATGAGCCTTGGTGGTGCTAGGAGGCTTGGTGGTCCCATGAGCCTTGGTGGTGCTAGGAGACTTGGTGGTCCCATGAGCCTTTGTGGTGCTAGGAGACTTGGTGGTCCCATGAGCCTTGGTAGTGCTAGGATGTTTGGTGGTCCCATGAGCTTTGGTGGTGCAAGGAACCTTGGTGGTGCTAGGAGCCTTGGTGGTGCTAGGAGCCTTGGTGGTGATGCTAGGAGCCTTGGTGGTGATACTAGGAGCCTTGGTGGTGCAAGGAGCCTTAGTGGTGCAAGGGGTCGTAGGGTTGGGAGCTGTAGTACAAGGAGCTTTGGTAGTCAGCTTGCATGGGATCAATGTTGGAAGGAAGTGTTCTATGGAAGTTGATTTTTCCAACTCCGAGGTGCTTGCGCCTTCAGCTGCACTGATGGCTAGCAAGAGGCTGATGAGTGCGATGGTCGAAACGATGTATCGAATTGTAACCATGGGTAGGTTTGGGTGTCTACGGCCGAGGCAATTCGAGAATGATGAAGAGCGATCGTCCCATTCATGAAATAGCTCAATCAAATCATCTTCCGCTGTACCTATACTACCTATATTTAGAGACCATATAATACAGGCTTGGAATTACTATTCATAGCACTCCTTTACCTAGTATCTCCACCGCACGGAATGCTAAATCCTCTACTTCTGAGTTTGTTCTTCAAGGCAATACATATGTGTACTGTACTACAATCTTTAGCAACGTTCATCAAATTGCGTCACAATCACTCCCTTATGACATTCCAGTTGGCGCTTATTACACTGCACACCAGCAGAATCGTGGCATCAATCGGCTCGATCAAGGTTGTTGGGTGCGTAATATTTTCGAGCAAACGATGGATTATTTCCGAGCGCGGCCTCAGAATGGAGCATTTCGAGCAACTTCCGACCATAGGGTGGCTTCCAAAACCGACTCAAACTTTTTTGAGTCGTCCGGAACTATAATTCAAATCCATCGACTTTCTTTGCAGCGACGCAAATATCGTCGCAGCAAAGAAGCGAAGTACGCTTGGGGTACATCTACATAATCCCGGGAATACATTGATTTCTGTCTAGTATATATTAATCCATATTATATACTTTCCAAGGCTCATGTTGCTCGACCAAGTGTCTTGGAGAACCCGGTACCGTCACCTACACGACGAACATGACATACTCAGGCTAGACCTCGTAAGGGATGCACTGTACCAAAGTTCTAAATGTATATCTGACGCAGCCCCGAGATAACGGACAGGAATCCATGCATAACGCGGTGCCTTGGTCGCGTTGGACTCGGCACGACCACCCAACCATGCGGAGAGTATTCGCGGCGAGTTCAAGACATTGCGCTTGCGGCGATTACACTCAAGAATGCTCGGTAGCCCACGTCGTCTGGCCGTTGGCGACCTAGCGCACGGTCCAGCAGGTCGCGTGCTCCTGTGTACATAACGTTATATGAATCCCATTGAACTGCATCCCAAGGAAATCCCATTGAACTGCATCCCAAGGGGATGATGCAAATCACGACATACGGCCAAACAGTTCAAAATTTTCTGCCACCCATTAACAAGTCAGCACATTTTGGCCAAATAGCCTGTCGAAAAAGTTAAGTCGTGAGAGTGGTTAGGGTGATTTCACTACTGTACCTCATTGCAATATCCGGACAATTCTCGCACAACACCGCGTTTGAGGAACCCTCAAAATACCCTAAATAACATGATGAACGGCTGGGGTGCGCATGTGTACAGTAGGAGGAGATAGCGAAATTCAGGTGTGGTGAATCCACACCTGAAAGTAACGTTAGAGGTTTCAGCCACTACGTAGGCACGACTAGCTGATAGTGCATGTACATTGCTACAGCTGCATCGATGGCAACCCCTATGTCGTTTATAACCACCCCACGGCCTTATGTCCCCGCCCTCCACAACGATTCTGCTTGTGGCTTATCTCCATGTAAAACCACGTAACCGCCATTTACGAGCTTAAAACCACCATTCACGACATCATAAAGTTAGCTCATAGTGTATGTAAACCCCTACACCTCCACAGCCCTTACTGTATGTATCCTCCCTTCCCCTCACAATATTCGACTTGTAGCATCCCCCCAGCCCAATTGTCTAGCACAGTGTGCGTCTTACAACGCATACATTGCTCACTCATATCATTCATTCTTGGTTCGAAGTGGCAAGCATTTACCGTCTGAATTTAAACATCCCACATATGTCAGAGCACAAATATCAACAACTGGCATTGCGTGAGATATTGTGTAGCTCAATTCGGATTAGGCGATACGAGTGGATGGAGTATGATGCACTTGACAATTGCACCATAACGTAAAAAACCAGTTTAAGATAACTTAACCAATTTAGGATAACTTTGTACTGTATTGCCCAATCACACCTCGTTATTTGTTCGAGTCAAAACCTCTGTCATATAATGCTGACCATTCACTCAAGTGAATGAAATGCAGAAACGGCGTAGAAGCCATCGGTAACAGTCATTCAAGATTGGGTTCGAAGTACCCTAGTCGACACGGGCCATATTGGGTTGGATCTGAGGTTTTGTCGAGTGTTAAACTCGGTGGACATCCATCCACAATAGAAATATAATTCTATAAAACAGTACCCTTGTATAAATTATATGCAACCTGTTGTAACTGCTTACGCTAAACACAGAATTTCAATGCCCCGACATTTACATACTTTAAGATAAAAAATGTTATCCTAAATTTGTTATCAAAATGTGAGTACAAATGCTTAGAAAGTAGCAAATTCATCTGTAAAGTTCATCGCCTAAACTGATAATTCGATTATGCAGTCAAAGCGGCGCGTCTTGTTTATTGGAATCACTATTCAAAACTCAAATATCGTAACGGACTCAAAAGTTATGTCCATTCTCCTCCGACTCCTCCAAAAAAGTTATCTTAAATTGGTTTTTTACGTTAACGTAAAAGTCCAATTTAAGGGTGCTCGATCCAATTTAAGGTGCACGCCAATTAGCCAATCAATTCCTACAAAGACAGTTTTTAACCTAACCGCCCAAAAAATATGCAAATGGGTATACAAAGACGAAGCTCAAAATGGTCCACCTTAAATTGGACCGCTTGTTTGTGGACAAAGTGGAGTGAATGATAACGAATTATAACAGGAATCATATCGCATTCATAACTCCCGAATAGGCCTGGATTTTGGCTTTATGTAACATATTGTAGAATTATAATCCGGTACCTACTTACATGCCCCAGCGTCTCGGAAATAGTGTTCTGAAATTGGACTTTTACGTTATACCGGTACCTTTGAACAATAATGTATACAGTAATTGATTTGACAGACTGAGATTCCATTGACTGTGAGGTAACAGATATCAAAATACAGTGGCAACTACTAGAAGTAGTCGAATCGAATATTACTACTCATAGGCACATACTTGTAGTACATCATTTGCACCAATCAATGTACGCTCTGACCACACAACTCGTGATACAAGCAATGGCCATAATATTGTAGTCGTGGGCGCTTTCAGTATGCGAACATATATACAGTACTTAAATTAAAAAACGACGGCAGTATCCACCACCATCGTGGTTATGTCCAGCCGCCAGCCACCTGAAAGGCCCACAGACAGCACGCAACAACCACAGATTACAGGTCTAGCGCTTCAAAAGCAGTCACCGCCAGGTTGGCGTTGTCGGCACGAACTTGGGCCAAGAGGTTTCGGAAGGTCACGACTTCTTTGGCAAATATGTATTTGTGGTACACTTCCGTCTTGTGTTTGAACGTGAGGAACGCGTGGTCCATGTCGACGGATGAGGCGGTGGCGGCGGCGGCGGGATCCACGTCGAATGGAAGGAACGTTTCGTTCATGCGGAGGCCGGATGCCACGGCCATCTGCTTGATGATCGTGGACGAGCCCATGCGCTCTGCCACTGTCCTGTGTAGTAGTACTAGTAGTACTAGACATGGAAGAGTAGTAGTAGTACTAGTCGTCGTACCAGTTGGTCCAGTTGCGCTGGATGCGGTCGACGGGGAACTTTTCGTCTTCGGTGATGCTGTGTGCAAACACAACATACCGATTCGCTTCGACGAATTGCCGCATGAGGATGTTCTGGGAGTATGCGTTTTGAGAGGTTGACCCGTACGACGACTTGTTGCGAAAGTACCGGACGTTCGGGTCGGGCGAGTCCATGGTCTAGTATGCAAACAAACAAAAGATTAAGTATTAGAGGTTCGTGGGCGTCCAGGGTATTATTTGAAATTAGCGGAAACTGCACAAATAGTTTTTGAGGCACAGATATTGATACAACCAACAGTTATCGGAAAAAGTCATCGCTTCGTTAAACACCGAGTACATTGATATTGATTGCCATGTCAATTATGTCGAGTATACAACCCAAATACAGGGAGAAGCGCAGTAGAAACTAGTAAATCAAACACCAATAATATGCACATGTATTGGCAGAGAAATATACAGTCAACACTCTTCCTATGGTAGACACAATGGTTACGATTCCAAGGATAAAAGACCCTCGTATACAACACCAATCATGAGATAGTTATGCTTGTTCGAACGTGGAGCAAGCGATATGGAGACTGTATCGACACCAACCAAATGTAGACATGAATACTAATCGGTAGAAGACTTGAGCCAATACAGATGGCAGGAACGATCCTCCTCCGAATCTAATTAGTGTGAGACCAGTGTGTGATACAGGACAAACTTTGGCGTATCAACCAAAAAAATCAAACAATCGATAGATTTATAATCAACACACTACATTTTCGGTAAAAAGGACAATAGCGACCAATACTACTCACATCGGCTTTGCCTTCAAAGTACTGGCGTCGTAGCACCTGGACCACCTCCTCTAGCGTGGCATCTTCGATGCGTTGCCGCGCCTTGGACATATGGTACGAGTTCTGGTTCTCAAGTGGGTAGATCCTCACATCGCTGCACTCGGCAAGGGACGCCGGGAGGCCGCAGTGCTGGATCATCATGTCGATGTTGTGGTATAGCTGTTTAGCAATCCAGTCAAATCCAAGCAGCCGAGAGCTTTCGTGGGCCACAAGCGTCGAATTGCGCCACGTTTGCTTGAACGTGTCTGGCATGACCTACATGTAAATATATATATATATATATGTTGTCGAGTATTCGGGTTTACAGTAGCATCATACCATTGCAAACAACGGCCGACGACGTGCATATATATATATATATATTGAAGAGAGGGTGGAAAGATGGATGATATATCTTGCAACCCCAATAAGTAGATCCATCTAATAGTATGGGCCTGCAAGCGATTTTATAAATATATAAGTATCTTTCAACCCCGACAAAAAAATGATTGTAACCATCAAATAGCAGGGATATGGCCAGCTTGTTGTACATACTTGAAAAATAATACTCAACATACCAACCCCACCGTGGATATTTCATGATTTGCAAATATTCAACATATAGTTCAAACTATTTATAAGTGATGTAGAGCAACATAAGTACCGGTAAGTGATGTGAAGAATGCACCCATTGGTGCATCACGGCGGCGACGTTGTAGTACGTGTCGACTTTGTGCGTCAAGTTCTGGCGCTCGGTCTCGCTGGACGCGGTCAAGGCCTTGAAGATACTCGACACGTCCTTCCACGGCAACATGCCCATCGCATTCCCGTCGTTGTCGTCGCCATTCTCGAGGAGGTTGCCCCGCCGCCGCTTGGCCAGTGCTTTGATCAATCGCTCCAACTCATTCGCTTGATTTCGAAGCGTCGTCACTTCCTGGCGTTCCGCTTCCCGGAGCTTCTTGTTGCGCATGCGATTGTACTCCTTCTTCTTCTCGTACGGATCTTTGGGATGTCCTCCGCCAACCTTTCCTTTCCCGTTCATTGGCCGTGCTTCGCTGTCCAACGACGTCGTCGGTGACACCAACAAGGACGTGTAATCCATGGAGAACTCATCCACATCGTCGTTCAGCAAAGAGTCGTCAAAGGATGCCTCATACGTACCTTCCACTTCCTGGAACATCACGTCCATCTCACTCTCCAAGCTGTTGTCCATGGTGTTGGCGGCGGCGTCAACGGCCGTAATGTCCTAGGCTTTGGTGGTGGTCAAGGAAGTTTGTTCACGCAATGCATACAAAAACCAAGATGTCAACCAGGTATCCGGATATTTAGACGGTCCACAATTACTACTTCGAAGGACTGTAATATACTACGTATTACTTCGAAGTACTAGTATATTACAGTGTACTACGTATTACCTTGTATGAAGTACTACAAGGTAATACTTCGAAGTACAGTAGTAAGCGCCACGAAGGGTTAATACTATTAATTGTAGCAGTCGTCTCATGATTGCACTAGTAGTACTACTATCAATAATAGTACCTACCCAATCTCCAGTAGTATTACTACAGTATCATTACTATCCGACAATGTAAAAATTCGTAGTAAATTCGACGAATATATTGTTCATTCTTACCCTTGAATACCGATACTTGCATTTGAGTATCTATTATCCAAGGTTCCAAGTGAATCACAATGTCGAGCTGCAGCAGCTCCATGACAGCACGAGGGTGTGCCCACTTGGCGATAGTGTATGTGTCGGAAGGCCGATGTCCATCAATCCTTAGCGAGTTGGCCGTGTTTGCAGCAACGGCCACAGCAACTGAAGCAGCTCCTCGTGCGTTGCTGGCACACTCGTTTGCAGATCCCACGTACAACCGCACAAGTTTCTACTTTGTTGGCTCGCACGTCGCGGCGTCCGCGAGCTCCTTTGTCAAGGCGGCGCTCGCGCGGCTGGAGTTTTCGACGCATCGCGGCACGCATCCAACACTTGGGACGGTGGATCACGTGTGCTTTTCCCCTCTAGGCACTGCTACTGCGCTCGACTCGGCATCCGAAGCGTCGACGTTCGCGTCGAGCTTGCACTCTGCAGTGCCCACGCTGCCGATCTATGGATATGGTCCGAGGTTGACTGGGTTGTGTCTCAAGGACATTCGCAAGTCCCTTGGCTACTTCACGCCTACGACCACTGGAGCCGCGACCATAGGCAGGTTGCATGCACTGGTGAAAGAAAACCCTCCATCAGCCTGGACAACACAGCATGTAAATGCCAAAGGAATCGACCCAGAGCTGTTGTCTCCTGAACCGCACGGCGTCTTATGCATGGGCTCCGTGCCACTAGTGCTCAACTACAACCTGCGGTGCCACCCACAAGACTCGAAACTTACCGTGGCCAAGCTAACACGGCAAGTTCGCTGTATCGACCAGGTAATCAATCCATCATATGTATTGTGCTTTCGAGTGAAATTTCGTGTTGCGGCATGGTTTCTCGTTGGAATTTAAATCGTTTTGATTGGCTACTTCAGAAGAGCTCAAAATTATGAGCCAATCAAAACCTTCTCAATTGAACCAATCAGATCGATTGTGGATCGGTTTGGTCGGCGCGATTCGCTTGCACCCCCTCCCCAAATTTGTATCAAATCGACAATACTGTATCTCACGTTTTTTAAGTATAGTTTAGATTCCATGTTGATCGGACAGGGTAAATAAATACTGTATTAGGTGGAAGCCCTGACGTTACAGCATCAAGATGGAGCGTACGAGGTGGCGTGCAACTTGTTGAATTGTCAAGAGGGGACCCCTGCGCAAGTCTTGTCCGCGGCGGAGGCTGCCGCCGTGGAGGTGGGCGCACGCATCACAGACGCGTACTTCACGGGGCCGACCGAGGCCGCGCTGTTAGAGGCTTGGCGCGCTACAATTGTATTGGAAAGTGGAGTAAAAACAAGCTAACGCGAGCAATCAGTGATTTGCCAAAGTTGTGTTGTATTTTTCCCTTGACGATATCTCGTTCAGGATGGTAATAATTGAACATGAGAGTTGCATCCCCAAATTCATCGTTATGCATTGAAAGGGTGGAATAAAGGAGCAAAAACATTTGTAAAGTTTGTCGCTCAAACAGTAGTGAATCACAGATTTGCCAAAATGTATACTGTACTTGCTTAAAGTATTGCTTAGGTCGCGCTTCGACGAAACAAAACTACCATTTTACAGAAAAATAATAATATTCACAAGGTACTGGTATATCAATTGTGCAGGTCGGTTTCACAGTAAAGCTCCAGACTCGGCCGCTATTTACATCCAATGATATCAAACCTGGTATTGTCAAAGCGATTCGAATCTGGACCATGAGAAAATGGATTAAAGAACCGCCTAAGCCAATCAAATCACGTTCTGGTACATTTCTGCCAATCCAAACGTTTGAATCTGCAAAACCATATATATAACGTTTGGCTCTGCAAAACCATATATATACTAAGTTTTGTATGGTATAGTTTGTACACGCTTAAATTGGATCAAATGATATTGGCGAAATGACTCATAAGTCCAAATTTGGGTGAAATTGCAACAATATTCTATAGGCTAATGAAGCTTGGCAAGTCACTGATGCGTAGGCAAATCACTGATTGTTCACGCTATAGTACAGCACAGTCAGGATATGCGCTCTCAACAATCCTTGTGAGCGGATCTCTTTGTTAAATCACTACAGTCACATGCATGTACTCTGTAGTACTGGAGTTTGCCTCCCATCTTATTCGGAGACCATGCTCTATGTGCGTGAAGCAATATGACGTTATCCGTACGTTATTACTTGAAGTATAAGGAATATGAAAAATATCAAAAACCAAGTTTTGGTATTTGACGAAATTATGCACCAGGCAGGAACGCCTGCATCCCTGCCTGAGACACTGTATTCCGGAAAGCCGAACACACCTGTTATCCGGAAAATTGAGAATCAGGGGCTCGGATATCACTCTCAAGCATATACAGTACAGTAGATAGGAAGGATTTTATATTTCGGAGCCCACGCCCTTGACTGTTGAGTTCTCAAAGTTCTACTAACGTTAGTACTGCGTACAGTACTACTTGAAGTACGTAGTACTACTGAAATTAGTGGTAACGTTACGTGTACTACAGTAGTCCCCCGCAATAGGGAACCTTTGTTGGCGATATGTTTTTAGGGGTTTTCAATTTACACAAGTATAAAGTTAAAAAGGCATGTTTGATGGGTATCTCGATTCTGATTGGACAAGAGTTAGCATATGGTATTGGAAAGTGCTCGGATTCAAAAATGGACATCATATTCGGAGGGGGTTGATACCCTGGCAACCTCCAGAAGACAAATCGCACACCAACAACAATGCGCACATTATATTCCCCAAAGGTTGTTCATACTCTCGATCAACTCATACATCTCTTTGTCCAGTATACCCGTATGGCGCCAGCAGTTAGAGCTAAGCTTAGTAGAGGTCCGGTAGGCGAGGTTTGTGTGCTGATTTATGTAACGGATGCACGTCCATGTGGTCGCTCTGGGTGTTGAGCTAACGAGACATAGTCGCATAGTCGACTTTTGGGGCACACGTGGCAGCCCAAACGCATGCTGAGCCCAAATTCGAAATTCAAGTCCTCTCATGCCAGGATGGACTTGTCGTGCGTCAATAGTGAGCGCTTTTGCTCGACAGTGAGTCTCATCCGTGTCGAGGGTGACGGCATTTTGGCAACCAAGTGCATTTTCGCAACATGTGTCGTTTGAAATTTCAATCAGCCTCTTTAAATTTATTTTGCACCATCTTGTGAAAGAATACATTTTGCGAGGATATTGATTTATTGTGGGTTCCCTATTGCGGGGGACTACTGTAGTACTGTAAACGCATTTTGACCACTATATTGCGTTTACTGTAGTGTAAACACAAAATAAGTGGTCAAAATAACACCTCATCCCAATAAAAGCCAAATACTCGTCCAATTGTTCAGTACCGTATCGCATATCACCACTTGCGTATTATTGACATTGCACTTGACTTTTTTTAACACTTGGCAATTGTATCGACGATTCATGTCGCAAATGTTCGACTGCCGTCTCTGCGATTTCAAACTTGCAAGCTTTCACTTCAAAAGTGCAATCTCGACCAAAAGCAATGAGCAGCAGTAGCAGCTATCGGCAGTCGCTGCCTCTACCGCCCAACTTCTTCACATGTCCGCCGCTACGCGAAGACGAGATCAAGCACATGAAGCACCTGGCCGTAACCATCGCCACCGAAGTGGTACCGTACATATGCCTCGCCTTCTCCCTTGCATCTCAGACGCGGTGGTAGGTGGAGCACTCGCAGCTTCGAGACGGCGGCGTCGCATGGACCCTTCGCGCAGACGAAGGCAACATGCGCTTCTTCAAGGCGCCGGACCCGCTGCACCGCGTGGGCGCGCACATGTTTATGAGCGTCGTGGAGGTCGCGGGCACGTTGGATGAAGTGATCGACTTGTTCCGAACTGACACGACGTTCAAGGCCAAGGAGTATGTCAAGCGATTCGGCAAGGGGCTGCTGGACGCCGTCAACTTGTACACGATTGTAGACCCGACGCCGGACTTTCCCAACGAAAAGATCGCTGTGACGTGGTTTGCCATGAAGAGCCCGTTTGATAAGATCGTCGCCAACCGAGATTGTGTCATGCTCGAGGTACGCTACTTAATTGCTGTTGGTTAGTACTAGTAGTAGTATTAGTAGTATGGCTTGTACCATTACGGCAATAATGCCTCGTCATTTCTCGATAAAACTCGTGTTTTTTGGCATTTTAAGAAATTGTCCATTTGGAATTTTCTTCGTGTTTTGAATTTTCGATATATTAAACTACTAATAGATTCGAGTGCCATAACCTCATCGCGAGATTTGATTGGTTTTCCTGAACGTTCTTGTCGCTGATTGGCTCAGCATTATTATTTCTATGTTCGATAGTAGTATACCTTTTCTGCAAATTATTTGTTCGCCAATCAAATGTCGACTCCAGGGGGACATTTGAAGGACATTAACAATATATATATATTTAAATTTCGACTGTCACATTTGCTTTAGTGTTGTGGCCATGCTGTCCCATGAGTCGTACATATTTTCATAATCCTCATGTTTCAACCTGTACATTTCAGGTACATAATATTATATGTTGTAGTGCCAACACGAGTTTGAGTGGACTGCCGGGCGTCGGGCGTGGGTTCGTGGGCTGCAGTCGGTGGCTCTGCCGTGCTGTCCAGACATGCAGTCGACATTGGGGCTGGTTCGATCTACGCAGTACGGCGTCGGCCACGTCGTGCTCGAGTCCCTCGATCGCCCAGGGTACCTCCAGATTTCATTTCTCAACCACTTTGACGTCAAGGGCACCCCACCCGAGTGGCTGATCGAGTTGGGTATGAAGAAGCGATGCAAGAGCATCCTCGATATTGAACTGTACCTGCGCGAAGACCGCCTCGGGCGGGGGGTTGTGCTGTCGCCGGCGGACTTTGTACCACTAACAAGGCGCCGGCACTGCTTTCTCTGTCGAAAGCGGTTCCGTCCGTGGACGAAGCGGTCTAACTGTATGAAGTGCGGCGAAGTCCTCTGCCGCGGATGCAATCCCTCGTGGAATGTCAAGTTGCACCACGGAACCGTGCACTCTATCATCCAAGCATGCATTCGATGTGCCCAGGGCCAGCAACATCCGGATAATGTGTTGCATGGCGACGCGATTCACGGTACAACTACTACACACAGCCACGCCAGTAGCAGCAGCAACGGGAAGATTGTTGAACCTCGTCGCATACACGCACCGTCGTACATCTTGAATGACGAGTATGATTACGCCGCAGGTCGTGCCAAGTATCGGGGATCGCCGTCGTCGGTTGCGTCTACTTCGTCAGTGTGGACAACGTCGTCGGGGGTGACCAAGAGACAGATGGGGCGTCGGTTCTTATCCACCAGTTGCGTTGCTCCTGCCTCCCCCCAACATCAACCTTTTCTGTCGACGAATCACTTGGTCCTGCACGATGTCACAGACGACGACGTGGCGTCTCGAAAACAAACCAGTAGCCGTAGCCGTACTAGCAGTACGAGTGACGATGGCGGCAGCTGTAGTGAAGCCGTGTGGCTAACGCTGTCGCAAGGTCGTGGCGGCGAGTTTGTCGTGCATTCGCCAGCGTCGATGGGTGGCGATCAACAAACCAATCACAACATCGATCGTCACCCCGTATCGTATATCGAGGGTACTCATCTCCACCACCACCACCACGCTAAGATGATAACTGCACCGTTGCTCCTTCCATCAACTTCTACGAAACAACACGGACACCAACGCGTGCTGAATCCCCACCATCCTGCGACGACGTCCGACGGCCGAGCGGCGGCAGCAGCCTGGACAACTCCCTCGGCCATCACATTGCGACCATCTATAGATTCCACGGCCAGCGATGACCTGCACATGCTTACCACTCAATGGACGATCGACCGTACCCGATATCGCCATCGCTCGTCGTTTGATCATGACACTCTAGACAAAACACAAGCACGTCACGACACTTCTCGTACGACGTCCCAACCAACAAGGGACTCAAGTTTACATGGCCCTATCTACTTGGAATGACTTTGTTCATCTCGATAGTAGGACCAACCCAACTTTGTAGTTTTTTACATGTAATTGAGTTTGGATTAACACTTCTTGAAGACATTCCTTGTTATCCGGATTCCCCAGGAGGGACGGATAAATCCTTGCGGAAATAATCCGGGGAAACCGGGGATCGAACCCCCGACCTTTGGGTAGTTGTTATGAGATGTACAAGAGTTTGCGGGAAATGACCAAAGCACAGCCAACCTCAAACGAATATGCTGCTATACCAAGCAGCTCGATGGCACTAGGTCTTATAGACACACTAGGTAGGGGCTGAGGACTTTCGATTGGCCTTTCGACGAGACGCGACAACCGGGAACGCAAGGAGTACAGTGACTTCAGCTCAAATCTGTTGGGTCATTTGGACCTGACAGGTGTATCGTCGTCGTAAGAGGATAGAAATGAATTACTTGGAGAAGGACCGTTTGGTGGTGTTTGTCGATGGTGGGGGCTGAATAAGGGTTGTTGTTAGGCAGAGGTGTTACAAGGCGGAAAACATCGCTTGTTTACACCTTCGTGTGGCGGTGTGTACCTACAGAACTCTAGTCCAGCAACAGCCCAACGACGTTCTTCGTATGTACAGTAGTGGCCTCCGCATCGTCGAAGCGGAAAGTACAATCAAGAGGATATGTATGTACCGGTACTACACCACGAACGAGGGCAAGATGCTAAGTACGTAATCTTATGGATTGCAATCGCCTTCGACCAGGACAGTTGGTACAGAGGTGATCACCGCTGGGGGTTTGGTAGTACTTTGCCAGAACGCATTGGACAAAGATGATCGTGGTGCATTTGGTTGGCTAAACAAGTTCTACTTACAGATCATCGAGTGTTTGCCTTGTCCTCGCGGCGGCGGAGGTGGCGGCGGCGGCCTGTGCATTGAGAGCGCAGAATGATGGAAAGAAATCCAGCTTGCCCAGTTTGGAATGAATTATTCCCTCATTAAAACAGTTCCACTGTTGTTACGACTCGAAATACTACTGTTTGGATGAGGGAATAATCCCATCCGGATACACCTTTTCGCCCGTAGCCCTGTAACCTGGGACTCCGTCCTACTCCCGAAAATACATACGATGCTAAATCCCCGGGGTTAACTGCATCACTGGTAGTGATGCACTTAACCCCTAGTAAGAGCCGAGTTTACAAAGCATAAGCACTCAAGTTGCAGTGTTTTCTGAGAAAAACAACGTGGGATGGGTTTTATGAGGGAATTATCCGTTTGGAACCTGAAAAGTTGCAATAGGAGTTGTTTCTGCGTCAAAGTAACATGTTACAAGGGAAATGTCCCTTTTTTGGACCATCTTTAGTAGGCATTCTCCTCGTGGACATGCTACGTAGGGACGATCATGTGCCCACATTCCATGGGGATCCTTCCCGTGATGACAGTTGCATATACACATGTCTCACCCCATCACATGTCCCACGTCATCGCATGTCATGTGGTGTGGTTGGTCTCAGCGTGCGAGGTCCGCCACTCTCCCTTCTCCCTACGTCATGACAAGGCATCAACTCGTCCTTCGTATCCTCATAGCAGCAGCATGCGTGTCTGCCTTCGTCCACGCCGACCTCCCTTTTTGTACACCTGACCATGTCCAACTCGCGCTCGAAGCTACCTACCCCCACCCGTCGCACCAGTTGTGCATGAAGGATGCAGGCATGCAGAACAAAGTGTACTTGAGCTCGCGATTTACGCCGTCCCTGACTCAAGTGGGGGCGTTCTTCAACTCGAAGGCGTGCCGCGAGACGTTTGGCGTGATTATGGACGCCGTCAAGAACAACATGCCCATGTGCATGTACAGTGAAGCTATTTCGAGTAAGCAACTAAGCGCCCTCACGTACGACCAGCTCAAGACTCTGTACACAGCGTATATCGAGTCCCTCTAAGTATATTTATATAACCAACCATCCCCCTCCTCCCTCTTAACTCTTAGTCTGTTGACATCAACTGGGCAATCCAGTTAACGTCTCGAACATGCTTCGTGCCACATATTTTTTCTTTCTTTATTGTTCACCGGTAGTACAGTTTACAGCAGGAGTACATGTAGTTCCTCGTTTAGGGGCGTGGGAATGATGCCTCGTTTACTGTTAGTTTATGCAAGGACACAGACACTTCACGTGTTCATGCTGTGGCTACCACGAACATCCAAAGTAGTTTCCATGCAGCGCTGACCCTCTTTCCATCAAGGTACTGTGAAGCTAAAGTATTACTACGTAGTACTACTCTATTAATACTACGAAGTACGACTACTTCAAGTACAGAGAACCCCGGAAATATCCGACAGGGGTTACAGCAAATTTTGTATGGAGATGTCGCCAGAGTAATAATATTCATTACTTTTTTATTGTTAGATATGATAGAAATTACGAGCGTAACGTTACATGAGGAAATATACGGTAACGTTATCGTAGATTTTGGGTCATATCATAAGGACGTCGTAGGAGTACGGGACATTTGAATTATCATGGGCCCACCATTAGATGTACTTTCGGGGGTAGGTATTTGCATCAGTTGATGTAGTCATTTCTTTGCGACGCTATATGGACGATCGTTCTCCCTGGTGATGACACCACCTCGAAATCCACTTTTTGCCCCCCCTTTTCATGTATCCTGCAGCTAAATGCACTAAGTACACAGTCTGCAATGCAGGTGCCCCGGGTTCAAATCCCACCGAGGGATATATTTTGTCAAGTGATATACAACATGACAAAAATATTCAACATTGTTATTTTTAATCACCTACTACAGAAATCTATTGGATTCACGACGGGGGGTTATCCAGAGAACACTCCTACCGAGCACATAATTAAGATCACAACACAGTATCTATTATTTACACAACTACAATGTGGGGACGCGGAATTGCTTTTTCCACCTAACGTTGGGCGCTTGGCGTTGCGTCGAGTCGTCGCAAGTTCTGTGCGGCGCTTTTGCCAGTCGATCCACGTACTTCGAGGTATTCCATGCTCCGCACAGAACTTGCGATGGCTCGTTGCAGTGGCTTCGAACATAGCCAGGAGCTTTCGCTTTTCGTCGATGGAGTATGACTTCTTGCGGTGTCGCGTCGGCATGATGTCAAGTGAAGTGTTTCAAATTTTGAATTTGAATAGGCCAATCATAAACTTTCATTAATACTGCTTTGTGATTGGCTTCGTGATGGATAAATTCAATTTCAAAGGTGCGTCGACGATGAATAAAATTACATCAATTTAGACCGGTGGTCGGATATTTTGTGGGGGTCGGACTTTTCCGGGGTTCTCTCTTGCGATGGCTCGTTGCAGTGGCTTCGAACATAGCCAGGAGCTTTCGCTTTTCGTCGATGGAGTATGACTTCTTGCGGTGTCGCGTCGGCATGATGTCAAGTGAAGCGTTTCAAATTTTGAAATTGGATAGGCCAATCATAAACTTTCATTAATACTGCTTTCTGATTGGCTTCGTGATGGATAAATTCAATTTCAAAGGTACGTCGACGATGAATAAAATTACATCAATTTAGACAGGTGGTCGGATATTTTGGGGGGGTCGGACTTTTCCGGGGTTCTCTGTACTACAGTATGTAGTAGTAATAGTATGTGGTGCATCCGGTATTGAATACTACCGGTATACAGTAATAGTACTACCGGTAGTACTTCGGAGTACAGTACTAGTATGTGACAACAATCGAGATGGATATAGGAAATTGCGCCACGACAGTAGTAATAACTCACTGTACGTACCGACCTTTCGTCTGTCTACCTTGTTGGTCAGTCAGCCCAATCCTAGCTGCAGTAGCTTCGTCAAGAATCTCACCTTCCACTGTCGCCTGCACTGAAACGATGTCGCTTTCACTGAAACGATGTCGCTGGTGGCACGAGTGGTCTGCCCATTCCATGTTTTCCATCAAGTGAAATATAACTACATACATGTTCATGCAATTCCAATCGTTAAAGAAGCGAGAGATGAAAGCACGTTCCACCTCCTGACGCCACATCACATCATCGCTTCTCTTTCGACCGTCTGAACGTTCAACATGCATCACAGTTCGTTGGATCAGCTGACATTAATAGCATTTCGCTTCCCTTTTTGACTTGTTCACTTTGAACTGGTCACGTTATCGTTACTATGGTGGCCAAGTTGCCATGTACTACCTACTTTATGTGTCCGCCCTTGTCCGTTGACGAGAAGCATCACCTGAAGTCCCTTGCCATCGATACCGCCATGCGCATTGTATGCTCATTCACATGAATGTGTACAAACATGATGCATGCCATCGTAGGTCCAGCTAGCTCAGATGATGGATGCAGAGTCTTCGTGTACTAGTAGGCGGCTGCAAAAGGAAGTCGACGGGGCGCTTCGCATCTACAAAGGCACTCGAGTCCACGAGCACAATAGCTTCCAAATCACGTCGCTGTACTGTGGCCACGTCACGATCGAAACCACGCTCGACGAAGCGATTTACCTCTTCCGGACCGACGGCACTAACGCGCGCAAGACCCTTCATCAACTGCGGTTTGGCCATCGGCAGCACAATGCAAACAACACCACAACGTTGTAAAACATCGTGGAAGCTCTGCCTGTTGGGGATGAATCGTCGGCTGCCCGTGGTCTTGTCACGCGAGTGCTCCTGCCTCCACTTGACGAATGTGTCTTGGAGGTATTTATTGTACATACAGTATGTTGAAAATGTCAACCCAAAGTCACACTATTTAAGGTTAATGTTATTACTGTTCATCCGGATACAGTATCTGTACATTTTGTAAGGAATTTGAATGCAACTTCTTGTTGCCACAACAGGTGAGCCATCGCTTCGACTGGCCGGCGAGGGATGTCCTTCCTGACGCCGCGCGCAGCGGATCTCCGTGGTTGAGTCGTCGTCGCAAGGGATGGGTGCACGCTCGCAAGTCCGTAAAGCTGGCGTCATGTCCCGACTTGCACGACACGTTAGGATTTGTCCGCGTTCAGAACCACGGCAGCGGCGTCATGTTGCTTGAATCGGACGCTCGACCGGGATTTGTGGACGCGTATAGCTTGGACCACCGTTCGCTACCTAAATATCGTACTGACGACATGTCTGGGATCGTGCGGCGGCTGTTGGCGCGAGCCACGACCTCGGAATCTATCGAACGCATTCAATCCACGCTTGGCCACCTCGGGTGGTACGTGCACGAGGTGCGGCTCAACCAAGGCACCCCGCTGTTGCTTTCCAACAACAACAGTAATGCCCCTCCTCTGTGGGCGTCCCAGTGCCACCAGTGCCGGAAACGGTTTCCTTGGCTCAAATGGAGCCACAAGGTGCGATGTGCCAAGTGCGGCGTCGTCGTGTGTCGACGCTGCTACGCCCACGTCACACATTTGGCCAACGACGGTGTCGCAGCTTTTCGAAAAGTGCCGGTGTGTGTAGACTGCTGCGACCAGGCGCTGGTGGCGCACCGGCAACGCGCGGGACAACCAATTACAACGAAGGCAAAGACAGCAATCTCGAGCTCACCGGAAAGCTCGTGTGCGTTGATTTAAGATTTTTCTTGGCAAACGTGAAATACCCTCTCACGATTGAAGGGTGATGGCAAAGCTAAGGCGTAGTCCTACCCTCGATGAGCGTATTTGAGTGATTCACACTACTGAACTGTCCGGTAACGTAACTGGGGAGCAATCAGTCGACTTGGACGCGGCAGTTGACCATTTTCCAGCGACGAATAACCAAATCAGCGAAGTAATAATAATCTTATACCGCCACAAAACCACAAAAAAGTTATTTAAAATTAATAATAAACCACAATTTTTTTAAATAAAATATTCAGATTAACAATTATAAAAATAGATAAACCAGTATTTATTAGCCATAATAATATGTCAGTGTGTGCTTAGAAGTACAGTGTCGCTACCGTGTATTAATACTCAGCCCAACATATTGTCAAGTCGATTCGACATTGGAGTACTACAGAAGTAACAACCAAATCGGCAGTCAATCGATCGACCAATCAAAACCCAGAACACGAATCAAGGAGCCAATCAAATTCTCGCTTCAACCATATTCGTGTATGTGTGAAATTAGTGTGCTGGGCGACACCTTTTACACACAAAAATCAGTACTGTAGTAGAAATCGATCGAAATCAGCACAAAAATAAAAAAAACTTGACTGAAAGCACAATATCAACACATGCGACTACTTGGAGGGGTGTATATTATGTATTCTTGTCTCTTGTCATGGGAGTATTACTCTACAGTATTCACCCTGGTCGACATTTCACAGTTGAATCATTCAACGCGTTGCCACATGTACAAAGATTAGCTCAAATTGGGAAAAGAAGTCAAAAATATAATACTGCCTCTACAATATTTCTTGTAATCACTTTGAAATCACAAGTATGAACGTAGGATAGATCTATATATAATTCTACTAGATTATCCGTCTAACGTGATCATCACCTTCAAAAACTGCGCCGCCATTTCTACTTTTGGAATGTCCTATATGTTGAATCCAAGGCTAACAGTGAATTTCACCGGTTTCCATTTCGTAGTCACTAATTCTACGAATACATTCGTTAGGTATGGCTACTATTTCGACATATGGCTCCTCGTAGCTTTGGCAGTGACACTGTTGCAGTCGTTTTAGGTGTTGCGACGGTCGAGTTATCGTAAGGTTGCGCAGTGTTGCGTGGTGCTGCTTTGGGTCGCAGCGACGACAGCATCGACGGCTGCTGTCCTTTGTGTCTACATTGTGGTGAGAATAGTTGTATGTCATTGCATTTTCAGTCAAAATTGCCTATTATTTGGGGGATTGATGAAAAGATCGCCAACTAATCGAGCAAAGGAGTATGATTGGCTATAAAGAATGAAGGTTGCAATAGGATTGGCTAAAAATATTCGATTGATGCATTGCAGTCTCAAAGATACCTGTTAAAATTAGTTTTATCGAAGGTCCGGCGATTGTTCGGCGGTTGATTCAACCAACCGCCAACGGAGGAAATTAGGAGTAGAACAAATCACAATATAAATAGGTCCATTGTCGACAATTATGTCAATTTACAACAACAAAAATAATCCAGTATTTGATTATAAAAGAGGCAGATTTTTTAAAAGATGTAACTATGGGGGTGGTAGTACTGTAGTACTGTAGTAGTAGTACTAGTAGTACTAGTAGTAGTAGTAGTACCTCGGGGGTCGAATCGTTACTCGTTTGATGCCGCGGTGAATATCTCGAGAGGCCAAAACCGGGATAAATTGGTTTGTTCTACAGCAACGAGGTCATAAATGGCTGCGCAATCACGCAATCCCAACAAAGATATTATTATAGAAAAGATATTGTGCATTTCATCCAAAATTATTTGGACTTGTGTGAGTTATTTCGCCAAATCCTGTAGCATATTCGAATCCATTTGATCATTCAATTTAATTTAGTTTGTACAAACTATACTATACAAATCTTAGTATATATATATATATGGTTTTGCCGAGGGCCAGAGTCGAGTCCAACGTTTGGATTGGCTGTAATTTACCAGAACGTGATTTGATTGGCTTAGGAGGTATCCATTCTTCTCATAACATATTCGATTATTCTGCTGAGAGCAAGCTCTAGTTTCGAATCGATTGGACAATATATAGACAAAACGTACAGGTTTCTATAGCGTGGTAAGACCAGTTTCAACCGCGAAGCCGACGACGACGAGGGGGGCGGGGGATCCTCCAACGATGTAGAAGTTGCTGTGGATTCTGACGCGTAAATGACCCGCGATGTGCGCGTTTGCATCGGATGCGGGGCTGAAAATGGCCATAACACGTGTCGCAACAGTGGCTGGAGCTGCAGAAAGGCAATTGAATGAACAAGATGAAATGAATCTGCGACAGGGGATGGATATGATTATTCCTCGTACGTGCAACGGCATCACATGTTTCCAAAGGCGGTCGACCATGGCGTCGTGCAGCTGCTGTACCAAACATGGTTTCGGTGCCACCTATCAAAAAATTAAAATATAAAAATATATAAACACTGTATATATAAACATTTGTATGCTAAAGTGTATATTATATTGCATGAAAGGGCGTCATACAAGGTCAATTCCTTCGTCGTCGTCTGACGCCCCCGACGAAGCAAATGTGGATTTATTCTCGTCCAATGTTTGTTGGGTTGAGCTGGGCGGGTGGTGCATGTGCTGGCATATGGGTTCGTCCAAGATGCCGTGGCTACGTCAACCAACCACCGCACATGTCGGTTATGTGGCGAAAATATACATGATATATATATATTGCTTGAAATGTATATATCCCATATAAAGTAGAAATCGATTTATATATATTTACTTCGAAGTACATGCTTGTTCACCTAGAAGTAGCAAAGTAAATGAATACTAATCAATTTATATATAAAACGCTATGCTTGTACATACCGGTATAGCAAAGTAAAATGCAATTTATATATGTTACAAATATAAATAGCAAAGTTAGACCAATTTGTGTATATATTTGCTAGCACCTGTACAAAAGTAAAAAAACGATATATATATATATACAATGCTTGAACATATAGCAAAGTAAAAAAGAAATTTATATATATATATATATATATATATATGCTTGTACATATAGCAAAGTAAAACCAATTTATATATATATATGCTAGATTCGTCATGGCATTAATAAAGAGGACTATACACAGTAGATAGAAGGTGATGGGGTATGGGGTATTGTCGATTTGATACAAATTTGGGGAGGGAGTGCAATCGAATCGCGCCGACCAAACCGATCCACAATCGATCTGATTGGTTGAATTTCATTGAGAAGGTTTTGATTGGTTAATAATGTTGAGCTCGTCTGAAGTAGCCAATCAAATGGATTTAAATACCAACGAGAAACCACGCCACAACACGAAATTTCACTCGAAAGCACAATACGTACGTGGCAAATACTTCTTCGTCGGACACGAATGTTGGTGTATGGTAACAGCGTTGAATGGAAATACCGCGGACTTCCATCATCGATGGTTGACCACTGAAGTCTACGACGTCGATTAGGTATACTGTATGTAGGTACCTTGGATGGTTCTGGCCAGTATACCTTGCATGGACATGGCAGGTCGAAGGCGACTGGAGCTGACGACAGCGATAGGACGAATGCTGGTTGGAAGGGGAGGTGGAGCGGACGCGGCGGAGGCGTCGAGTCCTAGAACAACACATGAATTCGATGGTAACATGGACGAGATCGCTACCATTATGACCTTGGACCCGAAGGTAGCACGAAGAAAGCGCCCATTGCCCAAAGCAGTCGGTGTCAGAGCGCGATGTTGTCGCCTCGATATACGTTTGATGCATCTAAAAAGCAGGGTGGAGAACAACGTCAGAAGCAAATGGACATGGAAGCAACAAGGACGGGTCGAACCTTGTCTTCTGTCTGACGAAGCAGCACACGGATACGTTGGGAGGACTACATCGATCATCGACACACCCTGTCAGGTGGAGCAAGACTAGTTGCCGTACTTTATGGTGAAACTCTTCAAACACGTCGGGCATGCTGCCGTCGTCATTGTCGTCGTCGTCGTCGTGGGCTGCGGTTCCATCGTCCGACAAGCCCTCGAGCTCTACGTCGTCTGCATGAGTACTTCATACATTTTGTGTACATGACTAGTCGTCACCGCCGCTTCCGCTCACGTCTTCGTTGTGCGCCGAACTCCATCCGTCCGTGGACATGGGTATGCCGCCTTGTGAAAATGTCGGTTTCATTCGGATATCCGGATACACCCGGATAAGTGACATTTGAAAAGTGTGCGAATAGTTTCCATTGGCGGTATTTGATTGGCTCGTGCCGTTCGAAATCCCGTCTGTGATTGGCTTACTCTCGTGTACCATTGTTCTTTTTCGACACAATCCGGCATATCGCCGTCGCGTGCCATCCCGAGCGACCTGCCCTTGCATTTCTTCTTGTCACCAAGGCAGTCCTTTCATGTCTGCCGAAGAGCATCCGCCGGCGTTACCTGCGGTCCCCTCGACCGCCATCGGCGGTGGTGCTACTGCCCCGGTCGTGAGATCCACGCCCGAGAGAGCCGCCAAGATTCTCCTGCACGCGCTTGCCAAAAAGTATGCTGCGTCGGGCGAGAACAGCGCCGCCAGAACCCCCGAGGAGCTGGTGCGGCAGTCGATGGCCAACCCACGGGGCAAGCAACTGTGGGCAAAAGTCCGCGAAAACATCTCGGTGCTCGTGCCGCCCAAGCACAACGTCCGGTACCGCCGGTCGCTGACGCCGCCGCTCATGTTTGACCCAGACTCGGACACAAAGATCAAGTGGGATTTGGGTCTGGCGCTGTGCGTGCTCTACACGACATGCGTGGTGCCCGTGCGCATCAGCTTTGGCATCGAAGCCAGCGGGTTCATCTCGGTGTTTGAGATCGTGATCGACGTCTTGTTCTTTCTCGACATTGCGTTTAGTTTTCGTACAGGCATTGTCAACCCCACCACTGGCCTCGTACGTGTTTCTTGATATATATATATATATGTATATTTTTTGATATTGAGCTTTACAGATACATGACTCAAGGTGCCGTATTGCGCATGTATTGGAAAAGATGTGGAGAGTCACTATCAATGTCTGGTCTTGATGTCTGGATCGTTCCTAGATCCTCGCAACGACTCTTTGTTGTGACAACCGTTTTTGATAGGATTATAAATATCTATATATATCTACTATATATATACGTTGTAATCCGTCGAACTTTAATTGTTTGCATTATCGCTACAGTTGTAAATATATATTTATATATTCATTGCATTTGTTATACAATGGATACTACTGCAACAGTTTAAATGGCTTTTTTCGAGTCCACATCACACGTTTACATACAATGCCCCCATCGCCTGATTGTGGGGAAGGATGCCTTAGCCCCATTGTTTTTTAATCATGGCACACCAGTTGTGGATATATATATATATATATATATATATATATATATAATTATATGTATTAATTGTTTTTTTAATCATGGCACACCAGTTGTGGCTATATATATATATGTATAAATATATAATTAATATATGTATAATTATATATATATATAATTATATGTATTAATTGTTTTTTTAATCATGGCACATCAGTTGTGGCTATATATAATTAATATGTATATATATATAATTATATGTATTAATTGGAATGGGGGCAGGTATACTACAACAAGACCCAAATCGCACAATCGTACTTACGGGGGTGGTTCCTCGTCGACTTTGCGTCGACCATGCCATTGGAAAGTATCGTGAAAATCATGTACCCTGACACGTCCACCAACACTCTGCAGACGGCCAAAATATTCCGCGGACTCAAACTCGTGAGACTGCTCAAGCTTGTGCGCATTCGAAAGATTGGCAACATGATTTCGAAATTCGAAGAAGAGGTATATTTATATATATATATATGAGTAATCATAGTAGTAGTAGTAATAATAGTAGTATAGCTTGGACAATGATAGAGTCGTAGGGTGATGAGTCGACCGTGCTCCTCGTGAAACTTATTTTCCATGGTGGCACCAACACAGCAATATATTTCGACACCTAGAGAGTGTCTAGTATACTATACCTGCGTTGGCTAGCTGCCAACTGTTATATATATATATATATTCAATCATGAAATATTACCTGTCCACGTAATCCTTGGGATAGTATTATGATTTAGTACTTTTATTGCCCTAGGTGTTTGCCAACCAAAGCGTGCTGTCGTTGGTGAAAATTCTGCTGTTTTTGCTCTTTCTCGCACATTTGGTCGCGTGCGTGTGGTTCTACGTCGCCCAAGCCTCCCCGTAATACTATTTCTCAATGAATTTAAAACACTCAAAATATTAAAATATCAGCTGATATCGATTTTAATATGTGTAGATATTCGTGGGCGTTGGCGATGGGGTACATGTCCAACGATCACAACCACCAGTTGACTTTGCAGTACTTGAGCTCTTTATACTGGGCTATTGTCACCATGGTCAGTCGATATGTATCATAGTCGCCTATTATAGTGTACTATTAATAGTATAAATATATCTAGCCATTTTTAGTCAGTAGTCTAGTATGTCAAAGTTCACAAATTTATGTTTATAATGTATATATACATATATTTCTATTCCTCGAGTCAATAATTGTCGCCGTTTGTGTATATACTAAATCTATGCAACCCTATTCGTATTCATTCAGTATTGTTGTACGTCGAAGTTGACAAATATATATATATATATATATACTTTACACATAAGCCTCGTGTCACTCTTTTACCTGTCGGTAGATGACGATTGGAGACGTGTGTATAAAAATATATCGCCCTAATTCAATCTATAGTGCCAAAGATGACAAATATTATTAATATATATATATATCTCCCCGTGTCACTCACTTCTATATCATGTTGGTAGACTACGATTGGATATGGAGACATCATCCCCAAAACCAAAACCGAACTGATCATCGCCATGTCCGTCATGGTCATCGGCGTATCCATGTTTGGGTATGTGATTGGAAATATCACGGCGCTCGTGGATAATATCAACGCGTCCGGTCGCATGCAAACGGAGCGCCTCACCAGTCTCAAGGAATATGTGATGGTGCGCAACTTGCCCAAACAAACATGTACGACTTAGTCTGTACGAGAGACGCATCTTGGCTTGGAAATTATATATATATATATATTATTGATTTTATTTATTTATGGTTATTTATTTTAGTAGCGTCCTGTCCGACGATGCAACCGTCGATTTGATGGTTTATACTGTGGACATGGGATTTTTTGTAATGTCATTGCTATCCATTGGACATGAGTCACGACTTGTAGTTTGTTATTGTCCTGTAGCCAACATATTTGGATTTTAGAGCGTTTAGTTAATATTTGAATATATTTGTGCCGATTCACCAAATCCGTCGATCGATTGTTTGTACTGCATTTTGTATTGGAAACATTGGCCTGGGTCACCAAAGTCACAGACGAATTCGATGCGGATTGGTGTTTGATTGGCTATTTGACTCGTGTTGTGGAATTTGATTGGTCGATCGATTGTCTGCCGTTTAGTGCTGCTCATATTTTTTTAATCGAGCAATTTCGAGTCGTATTAACAATAATACCATCCATTTGGGTTGATGTTTTACGTGTTGCGATAGGAATATGAAGTACGTGGATGTTTGTATTCCGACTGTATATATATATATATATATACATACTTTGAAGAATATAATATAACGTGGTTATGTTGTACGTAGCCAAGCGAGTGTTGGACCATTTCGAGTACTTTTACAGCCATCGCTCCGTTTTTGACGAAGAAGCCATCTTGAACAATCTCCCGACTGTGATGCGAAATGAAGTGGTAACGTTCTGTTGGCTTATCGTACTATTCTCTCCGTACTCTTATCGTTTAACTATATATATAGTCGACCAAGTGGAGTCGTCGCTGATGTATATATATATGGTTTATTGTTGTTGTGCATAGGTGCACCATGTGCTCAACAAGTTCATTTCGAGGATTGACTTCTTGGCGGAATTTCACGAGGGCCTGGTCAGTGACATGGCGGTTGCCATGAATCCGTTTTTTTGCATCAAAGACGAAGCCGTGTACTTGCAAAATGAGATTGCTGTTCACGTGTTTTTCCTTACAAAAGGTACAAACCCCGAAACCCCAGAAACCCCGGAACCCCAGAAACCCCGGAACCCCAGAAACCCCGAAACCCCGGAATAACCCAATTCATCGTTTTGTAGGCACTGTGTCGTTGGTCAAGTCGTATCCGAACCAACTTGCCGACACCACGCTCATGACTTTGACGGGAGGTCAGCATTTCGGCGAAGTATGTCTAGAGGATAAAACCATATCCCAAAGCGATATATATATATATATTGAAAATATTAATATATATCTGTTGTATTGGATGTTTGTAGGTAGAACTATACCATCAAGTCTATGGCCAGGGAGTGCGGTTGTCGTGCGCAGTTGCAAAAACGTACTGCCAACTCACGTTTATGTCTCGTCAAGTGATTGAGAACATTGGTACGTCCACAATAATATTATCAATATATGCAGTATGCCTACATATAATATTATAATATATATATACTAATAGCGTATATGTGAATAATTATATGTTTAGGCCACACGTGGCCTGAAATCTTGGACCATTTTCGACTGAATTCTATCTCCAAGGTGAAACGGATGAGTAAACGCGGCTGCCTCGACAACTACAGCCCCGACGTACCTCCAACGGCATCCACCTCGACGAATTCTATGATAACCGACGATGGAAATGTGAAAAAGGTATATATATATATATATCGCGTGAATTTTATAGTCTTACACGCCACGCACTTAGCACAGTGCATCACTAATTCACATATAGTGTATTTAACGACTTTCAAAAACAATTAAATTTTTATTAAATATATATATAAATTCTTTTTTTCTAATTTTTTTAATAATTAAATTAATATTTAAAGGTTTATTTCCATACAAAAGGTTTTGTTCACGTTAAAACTCGTACGTTGTCGTGACTCCTCGTTTTCCATATTTGTATTGGTCTGGAGGGTGACAAACACTTTTTTCATTCTTTTTAGTCGTCATTTTTGAAGCAGTGGTAGGTCATTCAAGTTCTCGTATGCCTCCTATTTGAAACAAATAGTATCATGGAAATACTATTTATAAAAACAAAATGAATTCGAACGAATATATATATATATATATTGATACATATCGAGTCTAACTTTTGCTATTGTGTCGTGGGTAAAAGCACCCATTTGACGCCAACCACGCGTGGCACCACCATCTGCTCGCGGCATCATTGCGCAAGGGCGTGCCTGTGAAACCCACAGACGACAGCTCATCCAGCGACGACAACGACGACGACGACGACCAGCAGCACCATGACATGATGGACAAGCACCACCACTCGGAGCGAGAGCTCCACAACACCACCGCGCACACGACGTACGTCGAAACGAGGCGTTCGAGTACCGTGCGCGAGCCCAACCTCATGTCGCGCCCCATGTTGAATGAAAAACGGGTACCAAAATATATTATATTTATTGTACATGTCAGGGTTTGATTGGACGATTTGATTTCATAATTTAAACACGGATTCTTGGTTTATTTCATCACAGGCACACTGTCTTTAAACACAGACCCTATGTATATATATATGGTTGAATATCCAGTGGCCTGTGCAGCAAAGGAAGTCAAATGTAAACTAAAAATAGCTAAAATTACATAGGACCAGAATGAATGAGTTTGAATACTTGATAAAGGAGGATAAACTGTCCAAACAATATATATATATATATATTGCAGTAGTTTGTACACGCAAAACGATTGGACGTGTACCCAAAACTAAACTCTTTTTTTTTTTTTTTTCACTTTTGTATATTGTGCAATTCACGCCAATGAGGACATTTGAGTCATTTTGACAAATAGCGTTCGAATCCATTTGATCGAATTTAAGCTCTGAACAAAATATACTATACAAAATTATTATTTGTGTGGTTTTGCCCAATGCGGACGGGAACTCAGTCGGCCGAAGCATCAAACGTTTGGATTGGCAGAAATTCGACAGGACGTGATTTAATTGGCTTGGGGGGGTTCTTTGTTTCATTCTCTATATAGAGATTCTGCTCATGGCTCCCGTTTCGAATCGATTTGACCATTACTTTTTAAATCAAGCTCGACCTTTCCATGTAGCTGTATCACGTTCTTTGTATCATTTCATGTTGTATTGCCGATTGGATACAAATTTGGGGAGGGGGTGCAATCGAATCGCGCCGACCAAACCAATCCACAATCGATCTGATTGGTTGAATTTCATTGAGAAAGTTTTGATTGGCTAATAATGTTGAGCTCATCTGAGGTAGCCAATCAAATGGATTTAAATACCAACGAGAAACCACAACACAATGAAATTTCACTCGAAAGCACAATATCGGTCCTCTTTTTTCTTGTTTTTTCTTCTCCTGTTTGTGAGTGTTGAGGATGCCGTCAAGGGGCGACATTGTTTGTCCACATGTGTCATTGCAACGATGCTGCCGACTCGTATATATATATATATATATATTTAAAATATTGTTTTAAATTTCTCAACGATGCTACCGACTCGTATATATACATATATATGCATATTTAAAATATTGTTTTAAATTTCTCAACGAGGCTGCCGACTCGTATATATATATATATATATTAAAAATATTGTTTTAAATTCCTCAACGAACGAGGCTGTCGACTCGTATTTTATTTTTGCTTCCATATTGTTTCTTTTTTTCATTCTTTCACGAGGATGATTGTATATACATATAACAAAAAAAACAATATATATATATTGAAATATTGCTTTTTGGTATCACTAGGTTGCCCACAACGCGTACGTGTTGCACCCCCAAGACACGATGATTGCGAATTGGCAGATGGCGGTGGGCTCCGCAATCATTTACTCGACGTTTTTGGTCCCGTATCGCATTGGCTTTGACACCGACCCTCCCGACGACGAGCTGTCGCTCGATATGATCGTAGACATTGTGTTTGGCCTGGATATTCTGCTCACGTTTCGGCTGGCGTTTCACAACGCAGATCGCGTGCTTATATGCGACGCTGCGACCATCGGCACGACGTACGTCAAGGGCTGGTTCTGCATCGATGTGCTGTCGACGATGCCTGTCGACACAATCGTGGGGTATTTTACCACTGCGTCGTCTAAAGTGCTCAAGTCCACCAAGTTGCTGCGCGTATTTCGCGTCGCCAGACTGTTCAAGCTTGTCCGATTGCTTAAACTCGGCAAAGTCTTTAAACGCGTGCGCGATTCGATTCAGGTAGAGATATATTTATTTATTCATATTGGACAAATTGTAGTTTAGAATATTAGACAGAGCTCTTTCGATGAACGTCTATATAATATCGCCATGCTCTTGTCGTGTGTTTCGTATAACCCGTCCTCCGTTCGATATTATAATTGTGTGTCATATTTATATATATATATATATTTATATAATATATATATATATATTGTATCTATAAGTGTGTCGGGATGTAATACCATGTTATAGTATCAAAAGCTTTTCAGTTTTTGTATGTACTACGTAGTAGTGGTATTGTACAGGATTTGATGGTTTTGATAAATATATGGAGCTTGTTCCAGTGGCCATTTGCTCATACTGTACCAATTGATTGCTGTAGTTGAGTTTGTCTTTATGTTGGCTTTTTGTGGTGGAAATGCGAACGAATGTATATATTATACATATGATGAGGGTCCTACTATGCGATGATATGGTGCCATTATTGCTTTCAATGTCGTTTGTAGCAATTCACTAGCTTGAGGGGATGGTGCTGACATTGTGTTTGTCTAGTTGAGTCCGTCCACGGAGCGACTGCTCAAGTTGGTCATGATTATGATCTGCTTTGGGCACTGGTGTGCATGCATCTTTCACTGGATCATGCTGTTTGAAGAAGAGTTCGGGTTCGTAACTATATATATATATGCCCCCTTCATATCCAACGCCATATACTATTTGGCTTGTCCCCTTTCCCAGCATATCTTTGATATATATATATCAAATATCATAAAATTCAATATATATATATATGTACAAAACGATCAATACCATCATATTATATATGTCGATATGGAATATTATTTTGATCGCCTGCGGACGTGGTTCCCATATTATACATGTAAAGATATGGATTCTTTTTTGCTAGCCTGCGGACGTGGTGCACAGACTACTTCTTTCCGTACGACGAAGACCCGGGCGCATGTTCCTTCCGAGTACCGTCGGAAGATCGATACGTGGCAGCCATCTATTGGGCGTTCACGACCATGACAACTGTGGGATACGGAGACATAAAGCCGTTCAAGTTTTCTGTGGCTGAGATGACGTTCGCCGTGATCTGTCTCATGCTCAACTCGACAGTGTACGCGTACGTTGTGAGTGGCATCATCGATGTCATTTACAATTACAACCCGAGCGATCGAGAGTACCGCGCGAGGATGAATGACATGAAGGTAGGAGATTATATGTTTAAAAAATACATTCTCAACATCTTTTTTAATTAGATTAGGGTTATCTTCTTTTAATTCAATAGAATTAAGCCACCCTACGCTTGTTGGGTAGAAAACGCCATCTTGGAGACATCTGAAAGTGATATTGCTTCCAATCGTTCTATTAGAATGCTTGACTTTATTTTGATTTCGTTTTTTATTCATATGATTCATATATTGAATGGATGGGGATTGACACCATTTTTTGCAGGATTACGTGCGCGACACGGCCATGAGCGTCCGACTTAGTAACAACGTCAAGTGCCACTACGACTTCTTACTTAGCACCACATGTTTGTTTCCCGAAGAGCAGGTCATATGATAAATTATTATTATATATATATATATATTTAATATGCTTGTAGATCTTCAATCAATTGCGACCGAGCCTTCGCTTTGACGTGGCTCGCCTCGTGGCCAGCAACACAATCATGACCATCAACATCATCGCATCGATGGAAAAGAAATACAAAGGTAGGACAGCTATAAACTATATATAACTAAATACATGGCTAATTCAGTATCATTCATACCACATTACACACACATATAATATATATATATATAAATATTTAAATACGGTGGCTAGGATTTGTCAGCTACGCTTTGTTTCTGTTGCGGCCGCAGTTTATCCTCCGAAGCGAGCGCGTGTGCCGCAGTGGCAGCCCTGGCACGGAAATGTTTTTCCTCATCGAAGGCGAGTGCGAGCAAATGGACCAAGATAACCACAACGTCCGCGTGTTGGGGTATATATATATATATATATATATATATTCTGTTATTTGTTATATACCAGGAATATATATACATTTGAGACTATTTTTAATATTTCTGGATAGAGAGGGGACATTATTTGAAGCATATGCGTTGCTGGCACCCCCAGAAGAGCACTACCGTATGCAAAGCACCGTCACCGCCCTCACGCCAACGTGCCAGCTGTACTCGTTGTCGGTGCACGAGTTTGAGTAATATTTTATCTATCCCTGAAAATATTATTTATGGAAATATACTTTATACATATGTCTCGTATGTGTAGGTCCATAGCCGACTTGTCACCTGCGATTTCGGTGAATTTGGCGTACGAGTTTGCGAAATCGATCCTCCAAGATGACTTTTTGACGTTGAACGACGAACAAGTACGTTGTTGGACCATGCAAACGACTTGAAATGAAGAGATTTATTTATATATTTATTGTTTTCGCTGGAAATCCATGTAGGAGGCCGTGGTGTTGGGGGCAATTGAACGCAAGAAGACGCTGCACCCCGAGGGTTTGAACTACGGTCCTCTCACCAACATGGCTAAGGTGGCGATGGCCAAGCTGCGCATTGTCAAAGGAAGCGTGCTCCCTGAAAACGTCAAAGAAGCGATGAAAGGGGTCATGTCCAAGACCAAGCACACGCTGGGGCTGGCGTCGGGGGCGTCGTAACGTAGAAAAACGTAGCACAGTATGCAAAAAAAAAATAATAATAATAATAATAGTAGTTTATATTGTGCAATTATCACCCACATTCGGACTTGAGTCATTCCGCCCCAACTAGCATTCGAATGTAGATAGGTTATTGTGGTGGCTGGCGGCAGTATTGGTAAAGGAACTGAAACTGGACACTACGTATGGATACAAGAATGACATATGAAAAAATAGAAACATATTTCTGCGGTGGCAATAAAGGGCTTCTATTTGGTCAGTATGTACGTGTAGTATCGGTTGACCGTTAAGAATGATTCATTTATGTTGGACACATTTACCACTGGTTTATCATGTACGACTCCTCGTCGAACGGGAGAAGCGAGTGGTGCTACAGCCAGGTCGGCATGCACTGATTGCACACACAGTGGCACCTATCCCTGTTGAAATGTGTCGACCTAGTAGAGTCATGTTATAAACATGTACTGAGCTATCTATCGTACGTTTAAACTTGACAATACGCATTGTAAGTGCATACATGCAAACATACGACGTGTCAAGTCGATGGCTAGCGCTTAACCAGGGATTGGTTGGATCAAAACCAGGTGGAGGGGTCGCATGTGCTCCGGGAACAGTGTAAGTCGGCGGCGTGATTGTATATATGGGGCGTAGATGCAGTGGAGATTGTAAGCTCACCCGAGCCATTTGATAGAAAACCCTCAGCCCCAGACGCCGGTCCCCGCATTTGTGTTGCCTGGGGAGACTGCTACCTTTCCAGGTGATACACCTGATGGCATTGCTACACAAGGAAGCTCAGTCTGTACGGTTCAACTCGTGTGCAAGTGGAATGTTCGGAGGGGAGGTGGTCACCGGGAGTGGCTTTCCCCATACCAAAAACGGATACGAGGGTACATAAGGCTTGGGTCTGTCCGCATGGGATTTTGGAACTAGAACCTTTGGAACAAATGCATCGAGAATGCTGGCTGTATATGTTGATGTATGGGGTCAGAGTGGCGTGTTGCCTAAAAATGTTGTCGATAGTGTCATATGTTATTTACGACAAGCAGCAAAGTGTGCCTTGTAATATAGACACCGCCACTTCCGAGTTCAAGTGCACACAATCTGCATGTTATTATTGTCCTTTTACCCAAAATTTGGTTGACTTTTGTGCTGAACCGCCAATCTATCGATCGATTCTTTGTACTGAATTTTGTATGTAAAGAGGTGTCGAGTGGTGATTGGTTTGAAGTCACACACTAATTTGGCTTTGAAGATGGTTTCCTGCAATTTGATTTGCTACATCCCCTTTTGCCGACTCTTGAGCACATTTGGTTGTGTCGATTTATTCTCCATGTCGCTCCAGTTTAGAATATAAACACAACAATACCATTATATGTCCATCACGGTACTACAGTACTGCAGGATTCATTGGATTTGGCCTAAACATGTTCAGCTTCTTGGATGACACTGGACTTGGTCGAATCTGGTGACATTGTATCAGCTGACGTGTCCATATTGTTCTCGACAACAGCATATCGAGCTATTGCTTGGGATACCACCGACCGCTAAGTTTACATATGATTAACACTTGATCCAATAGTATATATATGATTAAGGAAATAACAACACGTTCAATGTTCGAAGGTACTTACTTGTTCAGGTGAGAGACTCAAGAACGAGTCGGCTGCGATATCCATCGCAAACTCATACGCCAAATTTACCGAAATCGCAGGTGACAAGTCGGCTATGGACCTACACATACGAGACATATGTATAAAGTATATTTCCATAAATAATATTTTCAGGGATAGATAAAATATTACTTAAACTCGTGCACCGACAACGAGTACAGCTGGCACGTTGGCGTGAGGGCGGTGACGGTGCTTTGCATACGGTAGTGCTCTTCTGGGGGTGCCAGCA